TCACTGCAACCTCTGCCTCCTGGGTTCATGCAGTTCTTCTGCCTCGGCCTCACTGAGTAACTGGGACTACAGGCATGCACGCTACTATTCCCGGCTAATTTTGTATTTTTAGTAGAGACGGGGTTTCACCATATTGGCTAGGCTGGTCTCGAACTCCTGACCTTGTGATTCGCCCACCTTGGCCTCCCATAGTGCTGGGATTACAGGTGTGAGCCACCGCACCTGGCCACCTATTTAATTTTGAATATCAGATCAACAACAATTTTTTTCGAGACGGAGTCTCACTCTGTCACCCATGCTGGAGCGCAGTGGTGCTATCTCAGCTCACTGCAACCTCCGCCTCCCGGGTTCATGCCGTTCTTCTGCCTCAGCCTCCTGAGTAGCTGGGACTACAGGCGCCCACCACCATGCCCGGCTAATTTTTTGTATTTTTAGTAGAGACAGGGTTTCACCATGTTAGCCAGGATGGTCGCGATCTTCTGACCTTGTGATCCGCCAGCCTCAGCCTCCCAAAGTGCAGGGATTGCAGGTGTGATCCCGGCCTTTTTTTTTTTTTTTTTTTTTGATGGAGTCTGACTCTGTCACCTAGGTTGGAGCACAGTAGTAGGATTTTGGCTCTGTAACATCCCTCCCTTGGGCTCAAGCAATCCTCCCACCTCAGCCTCCAAATAGCTGGACAGATGCACGTCACCACACCTGGCTAAGTTTCTATATTTTTGGTAGAGACAGGGTTTCACCATGTTGCCCAGGCTGGTCTTCAATTCCTGAGCTCTAGTGATCCACCCGTTTCAACCTCCCAAAGTGCTGGGATTATAGGTGTGAGCCACCACACCCAGCCAAATTTTTTGTATAAGTATGTCCCAATGATTGCATTGGACATACTGAAAACAAGTATTTAGGCCAGGCATGGTGACTCGCACCTGTAATCCGAGCGCTTTGGGAGGCCAAGGTGGGAGGATCTCTTGAACTCAGGAGTTCAAGACCAGCGTGGGTAACGTAGTAAGAGCCTGTCTCTACTAAAAAAAAAAAAAATTAAAAAATTAGCAAGTTGTGGTAGAATGCACCTGTAGCCTTAGCTAGTTAGGAGGCTGAGGTGGGAGGATTGCTTTAGCCCAGGAGGTGGAGGTTGCAGTGAACCGAGATCGCACCACTGCACTCCAGCCCAAGGGACAGAGCAAGACCCTATCTCAAAAAAAAAGTGTATTTATTGTTTACCTGAAATCCTTTTTTTTTTTTTTGGAAACAGAATCTCACTTTGTCGCCAGGCTGGAGTGCAGTGGCATGATCTTGGCTCACTGCAACCTCCGCCTCCTGGGTTCAAGCGATTCTCCTGCCTCAGCCTCCCAAGTAGCTGGGACTACAGGTGCCCACCACACCCAGCCAATTTTTATATTTTTAGTAGAGACAGGGTTTCACCATGTTGGCCAGGATGGTCTCGCTCTCTTGACCTCGTGATCCGCCCACCTCGGCCTCCCAAAGTGCTGGGATTACAGGCGTGAGTCACTACACCTGGCCTGAAATCTAAATTTAACCGGATGTCTTTTATTTGCTACGCTACCCCTACTTCCATCTCCAAGTATAGTTTCCTTGATGGCAAAACATGTTTCTCACTGGTCTCTGAATCCCTGAAACTAGCCCAATGCATGACAGTTCATACTCGGTTAATGTGAAGAGAAGGTAACTTATCTGGCTGCAGGGCTGAGAATGATTGGAGGGAGTTGTGACTGGAGACAGTGAGACCAGGTAGGAGGATGAGCAATAAACCATCCAAAAAATTATGAAGACTTCAGCAGAACAGCACTGGGGATAGGGAAAACGGATGGATCTGCAGGATCTAAGGATTTGGTGACCAATGCTTAAGGGACATGACAGAGCTTAAGAAGTCTAGGAGATTGCCCAAGTTTCTGGCTGTGTCACTGGATGAGGTTGGTGCACTCACGGAGTAGGGAACACTGGGGAGGGTCTGGAAGCTGGACAGCAGGGAAGCTCATTGAGGAGCAGAGCAGGGTGGAGAAGGGTGGACAGCAGATCTGAAGGAGCAAATGGAAGACATCCAGTACAGATATGTTAAGTCTGAGGTCTCCCAGGACATACAGATAGAGGTATTGGAATTACAGACTTGGGGCTCAGGTGAACGTTCTAGGCTGGAGATAAAATGTGAGCATGGTCAGCGTGGAGGTGGTAACTGAAACCACGGGAGCAGACAGTGCTGCTCAGGGAGACAGTAGAATGGGAAGAGGAGAGAGAGTCAGTATCAGAGCTCTGAGGAACATGAGAGGCAGAGAGAGGAAGAGGAACTCAGAATTCATCTGAGAATAAGCCTCTGGAGGAGTGGAAGGAGAACCCGGAGAGTATGGAACCAAGACAGTCACAGGAAGACAGCTTTTCAAGGAGGACTGATACTATCGAATGCTTCTGAGAGTTCAAAGGACTAAATGGCCTTTGGCTTTAGTATTGACCAGAGTCACCTGTGGCCCCAGGAGCTACAATGTGCCACCTGGTGACAGGTTATAGCTACTATGTGGTAAACAGAGGTACAGCTCTGCAGCCTGTTTCCTTTGGGGAAAACAACCTTTTCTTTCTTGCTTGCTTCTTGCTTTCTCTCTCTTTCCCCTTTCTTTCTTCCCTCCCTCCTTCCCTTTTTCCCTCCCTGCCTCCTTCCTTCCTTCCTCCCTCCTTCCCCTCCTTCCCTTCACTCTCTTTCTTCCGTTTGATTTGGGTTGTCCTGAATTGCATACTGAGGCTAGTTCATGTGGGAATGTGTTTTTGGAGCTGTTGCTGTCTTGTTCCGGACTCTGAGATGTTGAGTACAAGCTGTCTGGAGCCCAGAATGCAGCCTCCAGCTGGGGTGGGCACTATTCCCTGAAAAGCTGGCAGCCTGGGGAGTGTCGACAGCCAGCACCTTTGGCTTGGGCTGTGGCCCTGTCACTGTGAGCATTGTCAGAGATGGCTTCAGTCAGTCTCCTTTACTGGCTCTGGAGCAGCCATGTCTACTGAGTGGCAGGGTTTGGGGACTAGGCTAGGCTTTAAAGTCTCGCCAACAGGGGGCTGCCTGGCCCCAATAACCCTGGAATTGACAGAATGTCCGTCTCTGCCAGCAGCCAGCCTTCTGTAAACTGTATGGCCCTGGGGCCATTTTCTTTGCAGGAGGGAAGGTGGAACTAAGGATCCTGAATCCGTTTGGAGGCAGAGAGGGGCCAACAGGGTGTTTGAAGGGAGCAAAGGCATCAACATTTTGGGAGCATCTAGAACTGGGGCAGTGAATGCAGAAGAGTGGGAGCACACACACATCTCTCCTCGTTGACCCAGAATGGGCACAGCCTTCAGAGAGCTCTTGCCAGCTCCTCACTGTAGCCTGGGTGAAGGGGGCACCTGTGCCAAAGCAGGCAGGCACACAGGCAGATTGGAAGGAATTTCTGTCAGGAGCGTTAAATGCCCTGTCCGTCTCTCATGGTGCTCTCATCCATCCCCGGCTGCAGCTCCTGCCTCTGTGCTGACAGCTCTCACACCAGTCCGGCCCAGACCTCCTCCCGCAGCTCCAGACCAGCAGATCCCACTCCCTCCTGACAACCCCTCTGGATGTCCCACAGTTCCTCAGACTTAGCATCCTTTCCGCATCCATGCCCCCATCTCATTTCCAAAGAAGAAAAATCACAGAGGCCTCCCCAGTACAAATGTACAGGACGTGGGAAACAAGGTTTCAAAGGATATTCAGAAAAGCTCAGGGACAGCCCTGGCCTTTTGGAGGTGACTTGGGGGTGGTGTGAGAGGCCAGGGTCAGCACTAACTTCTCCTTTCTTCCCCACGAAGGTGTGGACTTCTTAGCTTCCTGTCCTTTTCTTTTGTTTCTTTTTTTTTCTTTTTGAGATGGAGTCTCGCTCTGTCTCCCAGGCTGGAGTGCAGTGGCGCTATCTCGGCTCACTGCAACCTCCGCCTCCTGGGTTCACGGCATTCTCCTGCCTCAGCCTCCCAAGTAGCTGGGACTACAGGCGCCCGCCACCAGGCCAGGCTAATTTTTTGTATTTTTAGTAGAGACAGGGTTTCACCATGTTAGCCAGGATGGTCTTGATCTTCTGATCTCATGATCCGCCTGCCTCAGCCTCCCAAAGTGCTGGGATTACAGACATGAGCCACCGTGCCTGGCAGCTTCCTGTCCTTTTCATACCACTTGCTAAATGGAATTTAAATAATTTTTACTGTAATTGTTTACTTATTGTCTGTCTTTCCTGGTTGAAGCTTCTCAAGGGCAGAGATCATGTCTGTTTTCACTTCTGTATCTTTGGCATCTATCATATAATCAGTATCTGACATATAATAGGTGCTTAATAAATATTTGTTTGAGTTAATGATTATTCTTATTCATCACCCAAGATGCAGATCCTTCTGGGGCCCTTATCCTTTCCTGCCTCCTTATCCCCATGGAGCTCTGTGCTTCGTTCACCGGAGCCAGCACCCCACCGCACCCTCTCCCAACCCTCAGCTTTTTTTCAGATGCCCTCATGCCCTGGGCTGCTTCATGGAATGTGGATAGTGAGTTAACCATGCTGGACTGTCTGCAAGCAGAGGCATGTGTATATCTGACAAGGCATCTTCAAGACAATTCCCTGGATGGTAAGACACTGATCAATGACTGTGGGGTGGGACAATGGGTGCTTCTCTGTGTCTTTACACTAAGCGGGGGCCTCAGAGATGCCACAGGTCACATAGACAGGGCTTTCTCCACAGAAGACTCTGCAATCTCTTTCCCCAGAGGTAAGTCCAGGCCCAAGTGAGCAGCCTGCCAGGACTAGTGACTGCACCCTTGCTGCCTGCCCTGCCCCTGCTTGTGTTCCATGCCTCCCATCCCGGAGCTGCTGGGTGGGGGCCGGAGATCCAGGTCAGGTCTGTGATTTCTGAGTCAGCCTGAGGTGTGTGAATGCGATCAGCAAGGCATAATCTCCATCTAGCCTCTTCTCCCCAGCCCCCCACTGCCCAGGAAAAGGATCTGACAAGCCACAGAAGTAAATAAATAACTTAGAAATAATAAATAGGGGCCAGCTCCCATGAGTGAGTACAGGCCAGTTCCAACACAGGCGCTTTCAACCAAGCAACTGCAATATATGTCCTTCAAAGGCTGTCCCCAAAGCGCCTGGGCGGGGGCTGATGTCTCAGCCACTGTAGGGTTCATCAGAGGAGGAGTCCCAGGTTCGAGGCCTGGCCAGTGCCAGAGTCTGTGAGAAGTGGGTCCGAAGGGCTCCATAACTGAGGTCTTTGGTGTCTTTTAGGCTGGGATGGCAGGGTGAGGGCTCTGGGGCTGCTAGTCAGTTGTCCCTCCACCTGTCCAGGGATGATGTTCATCACTCGCCGGCAGGGGCCTCTGGGCTCTGAGGCCTCCGTCCCTGGCTGAGGCCGCTGGCTAGTGGGACTCTGCGGGAGAGTCCCAGGCAGGAAGAGCTATCGGTAAGGGTCCAGTCTGCAAAGCCCTGGAGTGAGCCTTCAGCCCAGGCAGCCGCAGGCGGTGGCCGAGAGACGGTCCACGGTTCTCCAGGTGCTATTGACGTCCATGAAGGAGACCGCTTCGTAGCGCGTGGGTCGGCAGCAGGGCTGGCTGATGGGCCGGGAGCCCGGGGGCGGTCGGAGG